TTTCCTGATCTCTTGAGTGTTAGGAATCTGCTCAAAGCTTTTAGATCTTTTCCAAAATCCGTTAGAATTGCTAATGTTCATAACTTGCAATTGGTTCCCATCAGAGCAGTCTGTTCCCGCCTCCTCCAAAGCTGAGCTGAGAATCCGGCCGCCGACTTTCATTCCTTTTCCCTCTTTCAGAAAAGATTTTCTCGACTGTCACCCCAAAGTGCGACCAATGTCAGAGTCTGGTGAAGCCAGGTGAGTGTCTAGTTCTCACCCGCTGGTGATTCGTTCATGGGGGATGAATCTAACCTGGTCTACCCTAGGAAAGTACATTGGTCTAGCTTCCTCTCTCAGGGGCGTGAAAAATCCACACCCCTGAGCAACATAGCTATACTGACCTAACCCCTGGTGTAGACAGCGCTGGGATGACGGAAGAATTCTTCCGTTGATTTAGCTACCACTTCTCAGGGAGGTGGATTACCTGCGCCAATGGGAGAACCCCTCCCATCAGCGTAAGTTGTGTCCACACTGAAATGGTGTAGCTGCACCACTGTAACGCTTTGAGTGTAGACGTATCCTAAGAATTGGAGCATGGATCTCTCCTCACGTCTGTCTTTGTGTATGTCTCTCCTTCGGCAGTGTAGTCTGGAAGAGCAGCTTAGCAGAAACTGGTAATAACAACGCTCTTCTCTCCTGATCTTCCTTCGGCTCCAGAGAGCTCGGAGGGTTTAGCAAATCTGAATTAAGCCTCACGGCTCCCCTGAAAAGCAGTGAGGAGCATTCGGTCTCCACCTCTGAAAATGCAGCCATCTCTAGGGCAGAGCGCAACAACTGTTTAACAGCGGGCATCAACGGTTGAGGACAGGAAGTGAAGAATCCTGTATCCAATTGAAATGGTGGCGGTGGGAGGGCAAGGAGAGGAAAGTGATTTTTAGGGAGGTGGAATGAAATTCCCCTGAGTCTTGTATGTTTCCGGGGCCCTTTTTTCCAAAAGTGATTTACAGACATAGGTGCAGAGCATGGCTGAAATGCAGCCACCCCTGGAACGGAGGGCAGCCACTGTTGAAAACCTCCCACAGTACAGTGACGGGAAAGCCAGTTTTGGCTAAGGACGCTAGAGTAATCGCCTGCTCTCGGGATCAATTCCCCAGGGATGGTATTTTAATTATTTGTGTAGGGGTCCCACCTGGGGTCCTCGGTCCGTGCCTGCGGCTCCTCTGCGCTAGGCGCTGTACATTTTTGTTGCTATTAGCTGTATTATGATAACGCCTTGGGGTCCTAGGCCGTGGACTCGTCAGGGGCTGTACAAGCACAGAGCAAACACATGGTCCTTGCCCCAAAGAGCTATGAGAGGAGCTGGGAGGTTTCTAAGGGGTGTCTGAAGTCTGTGGGGCCACATCCCCAACTGGCGTGAGCTGATGTCGCTCCATGGGAATCAGTGGGGCCAGACCCCTGACTGGTGTAAATCAACCGGAGCGCCCCTGACTTCACTGGAGTGTCGCTGACCCACCCTAGCTGAGGATCTGGCCCCGGGAGGCTGCCGGCCTGCCGTTGCTCATACCCAGCGCCTTGGCTTCTCCTCGGCCCTTTGGGGAGCTGCTGCCCAGGGAAGGGCATGGCCAAGGTGTTGAGTGTGACAGCTTCTCTTTTCCCTAGATATTGTGTTCTTTGGGGAGAGCCTGCCCCCCCGCTTCTTCACACTCATGCAGTCGGTAAGTGCCCCAGCCAGACGCGCTCCCGAATAAACACCTGCCCCACCCACATGTCCTGAAGCAGCGGGTATCTGTCTTCGATGCAGGCGGGATACCAGGATAGATGGGCCTGTTGCTCTGAACTGGGACAGTGGCAGGGCGGGATCCTGAGTTGGTCAGTTGGTCTGATTGGGGACGGGGCAGATATATGGGGCTGGATGGGCCCCTTGGTCTAATTTGCGGGGAGGGGGGGAATACAGGGCTGGGTGGGCCCGTTGGTCTGACACGAGGGGGACACACCGGGGGGGCCCATAGGTCCGATCGTCGGGGCAGTAGTGGCGGGGCGGGGGGGATTACCAGCCCCACGGTGACGGCACTAACCCCCTGCCCCCCACCGTGTGCTCCCTGCAGGATTTCCAGAAGGTGGATCTGCTCATCATCATGGGCACGTCACTGCAGGTGCAGCCCTTCGCCTCCCTCGTCAGCAGGTGGGTGGTGCTCCGCGGCCGCCTGCAAGGCCCCTGGCTGTGGGTTGCCGCCTCCTGACCTCCCCTCTCCTTGTCTGATGCAGGGTGCCCACAAACACCCCAAGGCTGCTGATTAACAAGGAGAAGACAGGGCAGGTGAGGCCTTTCTCGGTGCCCGGGAGCTGTGGGGATGGACTGCTCGAGCGGTACTGCCTGGCCGGCTCCCGCGCCAGCCGCGACGATGCCGGCCTGCCATGCTTGGCTGCATCCTGCCAGGGGAAGGGGGTGAAATTAGCACTGTTGGGGGTGAGGGGGAGGCAGTTGTGATTCCCCCCCGCCTTTTTTTCCCCCACCCATGCCCCAAAATCTTGGGCGTCCACCTAGCAAGCCCCAGGAGTGGAGTGGGGTGGGACATGATTTAGGGTTTCTCCAGGGGGCTCGTATGATCTCCCGATGGCCCCCAGGAGCCCCCCACCCCCTTGCCCCCCCCTTCCCCGCAGCCACCTGGGTGCCTGTTTGTCCTCACTGGCGGTCTGTCTTGTCTGCAGAGCGATCCCTTCATGTCCCTTATGGGCCTCAGCACCGGCATGGACTTCGACTCAGAAAAGGCCTACAGGCAAGTTCCCTAGGGACGAGGGACCAGCGCACGGCCCACCCTGAGAGAGGGGTGACGGTCAGGGATGGCCCATTCCGTTGCTGGGGGGCAGGCTGGGTCTGCCCGGCTCCTGGGATGGAGGGACAGGAAATGGACTAATGTTTAGAGCAAGGGATGGGGGGACAGGACTCCTGGGTTTTCTTCCCAGCTCTGGGTGGGGAGTGGGGTATAGTGGTTAGAGCAGGGGGGCTGGGAGACAGGACTCCTGGGTTCTATCCCCAGCTCTGGGCGGGGAGTGGGGTCTAGTGGTTACAAGAGAGGGGGCTGGGAGCCAGGACTCCTGGATTCTGTCCCTGGTTCGGTGGGGGGGGGGGGGAAGGAGGGGCTAGAGTTTAGAACCGGGTATGGTGAGAGCTACACCTTTTGGCTTCCTGCCCTGGCTTTGCCACTGAGTTGCTGAGATCTTGAGCAAGTCGCCAAACCTCTACGTGCCTCAGTTTCCCCTCTGTAAAACAGGGCCAGCAATCCTTCACAAGGTGGGAAATTGCAGATTCTGAGAGAGCCCTTTCAGATCCGTAGCTGATAGGTGCTAGAGACGGGCACTGGGCTCTTCCGCCTCCAGGGCAGGTCATCTGGGGGTGGAGTGAGATTCTCCCTGATCACAAAGCAGTTGCATTAACACCTGCTTGTTGCCTTCTTCCCCTGCGGGGCTCTCCCTCCCTGCCCCAGGGATGTGGCATGGCTCGGGGAGTGTGACCAAGGCTGCACAGCACTGGCCGAGCTGCTGGGATGGAAGGTATTTACTCCTCTCCCGTGTATTCCTGCCTCCTTGCATCTACGCACCATCCCAAAGTCCCATGCAAGTTCTTCTTAAGAGTCCAGGGTGTCAAGCTCGGGTGTCCTGGCCAGATCCGAGCTCTGGTGACCCCATTCGCGTGGAGCTGCCTTTGCTCTGGGCCTGCGTCAGAACTTGCCACGTTGCGCCCCAGAAGACGCTGTGTTTCAGCGCTGGGTGAGCGATTCACAGACACACAGTTGCCCTGCCCCTCCCCAGAGGTGGCTGCATTTCATAGGGGGAGTATGCGATCCCTATACAAACAGCTGCCCTGCTCTGCTCCACCTCCACGTTGGAGGAGGGACCCCTGTGTAAACAGCTGCCCTGCCCCAGAGCTGGCTGCATGCCAGTGCTGGATGAAGGATCCCTGTACAAACAGCTGCCACGCCCTACCCCAGAGGTGGCTGCATCTCCGCGCCGGTGAGGGGTCTCCGTACGCATGGTACGGCAGAGCGAGCTGAGATCCTGGAGGAGGAAAGCGCCTCTCTCAAGGCAAAGGTGATCAGAGATCTTTGCTTTAGCCCCCTTCCCAGGGCAGCCAACTTCTCCCCCGCTCTGCCCCTTGCTCACCAGCCCCACTGCCCTGTGGTTTTGTGCAGAACGAGCTGGAGGCGCTGGTGAAGAAGGAGCACTCTGCCATCGATGCCAAATCGGGGCAGGCCGGCGAGGCCGGGGCAAGCCCCTCTCTTCCCCCGGCTGGGGCCACGGCAAGCCCCTCCTCTCCCCCAGCGAAGCCAGGGTCATCGCCCGAGAAGGAAAGCGACGCCGGAAACAAGACGGAATGATGGAGCCCGGCCGTGGCTGGCGAGGGCCGTTCATTGGAGTGGATTTGAACTCGCCACTGCCTGGACAGTCTTCCCCGACGAGGGGCAAGAGCCGTCTCTGATCTAAAGAGGGCTGGGAGCTAGGGTCACCCCAAGTTTGCGGCTTGGGGCGGGGGGTCTGAGCGTTGAGATTCAGGGGAGTTTGACTCTGGAGCCACCTATCCCGGGTGAGCTGGGGCTTCTTTGAGTCATTTCGCGCTGACCGCATGTTTCGTTATTTCCCCACCGAGCTAAACTAACTGAAATCCAGGGCTCAAGGAGAGCACCGCAAGATAGAATTGCATTTCCTTTCTAATTTGTTTCCCCAGCTGGGATTCAGTTTCCCTCAGAGACCCATCTCGCTAATTAATACCAGGCCCAAGACTTTCCAACAAGCGTCGCCGTTAGGTGCATTGGGGCTGAAAACCGAATACTGGCACCTTACGCAGTCTCCCCCCCACCCCAGCTTGGTGTTTAGTTTGGATTAGTTATTGCAGTGTATTAAGTATCACTTGACTATTAAATTTTAGCATCTTGGAGGTAGGCTTGTGTTGGCTTTTGGGTCTCTCTCACTCTGAAATGAATTCCCGTTTATAAAGGGAAATCGAATTTCGTACAGAGCTGTAGATGGTCCTGGTGCTGCGGAGGTATTGGCCCGTATTCTGTCGGTCTGGTGTAAATCCGGAGTGACTCTCTTGACTTCAAAGGATCCCTGTATAAACAACGGTCCTGCCCCAGAGGTGGCTGCATTTCAGTGCTGAGTGAGGGATCCTTGTATAAAGAGTTGTCACAGCCTACCCTGGGGTGGTGTCATCTCTGTGCATCCTAGAGGGGACGGGGGGGCCAGTGTTAGGCAGTGGCTTATGAGTGAGACCCGGGTTCAATTCCCATCTCTGCTGTAGACTTCCTGTGTGGCTGTGGCCACAGGAAGTGGCCCTGAGTCTGCTCCCTGCCTGTTTCCCCATCTGTGAAAGGGGGATGGTAAAGCTGCCCTGCCTCACAGGAAGGATAAGTCCGTTAAAGAGAGTGAGGCTGGTTGAGATCTGGTAATGACAAGCGGTAGAGAAGAAATAGAAGCGCCGGTGTGACTGGGAGCGGATTTAGCCGAGATCAGAATCCGAGTTTCCTTCCCCTTGTGGCACTCGACCCGCTGGCAGCAGTGCGGACAGGCTGCAGGATCAGGGCCCGAGTCAGAGGTTACACGCTGGCAGGCAAGACCATGGCCCTGTGTCACTTTAGGAGGACAGCTCTGTATTTCTATCCCCGTTCCACAGATGGGGAAATTGAGGCACGCAGAGAGCGGGAGGAGTGACTGGCCCCAGGCCAAAGAGAGATTCAGTGGCACGCTTAAGATGAGAACCCAGAAGTCTCAGCTCCCACTCTCCCCTGCTGTAACCACTAAACCCCACTCTCCTCCCAGAGCTGGGGCAAGCGCCAGCTGCCCTGCCTCTCCTCCGCCCAGGATGCCAATGCTGGAGCAGGCCGGGCGAGCTCCTGTCAGAGGCAGCAGGTCCAGGCGAGCGGCCGGGTTACGAAACCCCTTTGACTCCAAGACCGGAACAGACGCAAACCAAACAGCCTCCCGGCTCGGCCCGCAGGGAGGGGCCGGGGGTTGTGGCGTCCCTTCCCAGCCACGCAGGGACAGAGCGGGCGTCAAAATGGCTCCAGTGCCCCTGGCTGAGCTGTGGAGGGAGGGAGCAGGTACGTGCTGGGCCGGGGACCAACCCTAGCCGCAGAAGGGAAGTAAAGCTGTTATCGGCAGATAGGGGCTAGTGGTTAGAACCGGGGACGGGGAGGGGAGGCAGGACCCCTGGGTTCTGCCCCTGGCTCTGAGAGGGCGATGGGGGTCAGGACCCCTGGGTTCCCTGCCTGGTTCTGGGAGGGTGATGGGGGTCAGGACTGCTGGGTTCTTCCCCTGGCTTTGGGAGTGGGGATGAGATCTATGGGTTGGAGCAGGGAGCCAGGACTCCTGGGTTCTGCCCCCAGCTCTGGGAGGTGGTGGGGGGGGGGGGGGCTATGGGTTGGAGCAGGGCTGGAGCTGGGAGCCAGGACTCCTGGGTTCTGCCCCCAGCTCTGGGAGGTGGGGGGGGGGCTATGGGTTGGAGCAGACCTCAGACACTCCAAGTCTAGCTGACCGTGGTATTAGCCATCTGGCTTTTGTGAGCATCTGCAGTGGTCAGACCGGGGTGGGGGAGCTCTGCTTTACTTCTGAGCCATCCCTTCCTGCTGCTTGGAAGGAAGACCCCACCCCACTGCACCCCCAGCCCCACTTACTGCCTCGGCCTCGCCTAGTGAGCCGATCTCACCCTGCGTCAGCTGCTGCACAGATGGCTGCCCCTAAGACAGGCCGAATTCCCTGCTGCGGGGCAGCTGTGATTTGCAGCTCTGCCTTTCCCTGGCTGTCCCCGGTACCCAGCTTTGCCCCCTGCCTGGGTAACCGAGCGATTCCCCCTGGTGGAGGTGACGGGGAAGGACCACTCCCCCCTGCTGGGATAGTCCTAGGAGTGGGCGGCGGGGGGGGGGGGCGGTTCCCGCTCTTCACCCACGGCCCGGCCCGCGGCCGGAGGCCCGTGGCGTTTTTAGCTGGGGATGCAAAGCGGCTACGTGCTTTCCTGTCGCAGGCCGAGGGTGGGAGGAGACGGAAAGTTACAGAGATGCTGAGCGAGGGGAGAACGCGCAGGAGCACTGGGGGCTGGGCCAAAAAGAGCCCAGTGCGGGCAGACAGCCGGGATACCAGGCTAGATGGGCCCATGGCTCTGATGTGGGGCGGAGGGGGAAGGGCAGCGATGGAAGGTCTGGGGGAATTGCTGCAGGAGCTCCTTCCTTCCCCGCCACCCCCAGTCCTCCACCCCACACAGGCCCCCGCTCTCGAGCACAAGAACCAGCACGCCCCGGGCCGGCCCCCACCTGAGCTGCGCTGCGTAGATCTGAGCTCAGATAAAGGAGGCGCGGGAGGAAATGCGAAACGTGCACCCTGCATAGGCCTCTTGGGCTGGGCCCCTTCTGCCAGCATCCCTGCAGGGCTCTGCACCTGTCGGTACGGCCCCGGGCTCCCTCCCACGTGCCCCCCCCCAGCCCTGCCGGTGCCCCTCACTCCCGACCCGCAGCCCCCTGCCAGCCCAGCCCCGGGCTCCCGCCCCCCCCAGCCTTGCCGGTGCCCCTCACTCCCGACCTGCAGCCCCCTGCCAGCCCAGCCCCAGGCTCCCGCCCCCCCAGCCCTGCCGGTGCCCCTCACTCCCGACCCACAGCCCCCTGCCAGCCCAGCCCCGGGCTCCCGCCCCCCCCAGCCCTGCCGGTGCCCCTCACTCCCGACCCGCAGCCCCCTGCCAGTCCAGCCCCGGGCTCCCGCCCCCCCCAGCCCTGCCGGTGCCCCTCACTCCCGACCCGCAGTCCCCTGCCAGCCCAGCCCTGGGCTCCTGCTCCCCCCAGCCCTGCCGGTGCCCCTCACTCCCGATCCGCAGCCCCCTGCCAGCCCAGCCCCGGGCTCCCGCCCCCCCAGCCCTGCCGGTGCCCCTCACTGCCGACCCGCAGCCCCCTGCCAGCCCAGCCCAGGACCCATCCTGAGCTATGGATGGCGATGAACCTGGCCCCTTTGCCTCCGCTGTCCTTGGGGGAGTTGCCTGAGGGCACCCATCCGAGTCACTGGCGCTCCCGGGTCCCAGCGGGCGCCAGAAGTGTGACACCCCAACACGCTGGTCCCTCCCCCTCCTCTCTCTCCTTCACACCGTGCCCCGTGGCCTTTCCCCTCCGCCCGGCACGGCCCAGAGACCACGTGAAGGCTGCCGGAGGTATAACAACCACAGCCCTGGTATCGCAGCCTTCACTCCTTCGTCATCGCCTTCCCACTCACCCTCGTCCTCGCCAGAGATCTCCCTGCCGGCCCTTCTCCCTCCCCAGGTAAGAGCCCCCTGGCTTTGCTGCTTTCTTCCTTCCCTGGCTTGCTCCCGGCAAAGGGCCTGGACCGGGGAGATCTGGGTGAAGGGGGGCGGATTGGGCTGGGGCCCAGGGGCAAGAGGGCCTGATTCGCAGCCCACTGGACTCCCAGTTGCTCCTCTGAGCCCTCGGGCATCAGAGAGAAGCTGAAGTATCTCCAGCCCGTTCTGTCGGGTGTCTACCAGCCGGCAGGGCCCTTCATCCAAGGTACAGCCCGCCACAGCAACACACAGCCCAATCTGTGGGGTCAGACACCTGTCAGCTCCCTCCGTGTGGTTCAGGCTAAGAGGCAGCGTGGCCCAGGGGGCTGGGATTAAGGAGAGCTAGGTTCTGGCCTCAGCTCTGCTGCGTGACCCCCAGCAAGTTGTTGCTCCATGCCTCGGTTTCCCCTCCCACCCTTTGTCCATTGAGCGTGGAAGCTCTTTGGGTCAAGGGGATATCTCTCGCCCTGGGTCTGTGCAGAAGCCAATGCAATGGGACTGTGATCTCGGTCGGGGTCTGGGCAGCGCCCGGCCCGACGGGGCCCCGGTCTCGGTCTGGGGCCTTTTGATGCTACCATAATATGCTTTTTAAATTACAAACCAATTTGTGAGCCCAATCTCACGTACACCCCCAGAGTCTCTCTGGGCTCCCGCTTGCAGGGGAGGCGATGCTGGAACATGCCCAGATGCTAGAGAGAGCAGAGGACCTGAAATGCGGGTTGCCATTACCCAGTGACTAAGCCTGGGGATGATTCCGCCTCCCCCGATGACACGCTGGGCGGATTGAAACCAGCGCTGGGTTTGTTTTGAAGACCGGTGGCCCTGTTTGGAAATATGGGCTTGCAGGTGGGAGGGGAGGGGGGTGTTAAACCCAGTGGGGCTCCTGGGCCCTGATCCAAGCACCCGTCGGAAAGGCTCCCTTGGGCTCGGCTGGGGGGCAAGCGCCCCAGAACTAGGCCCATGGAGGGGTCGGGAGGGGGCCGTTAACCCTCTCCAAGCGCTCTTTAGAGACTGATGCGCCAAGGGGGATGCCAGGGAGTTTCAGCGGAGAAGGTGGCTCTCAGGGATACACGGGCCATGGAGCCAGGACTCAGCTGGGGTCCTGTCCAAGGCAAGGCTGAGGGGCATTGGCTCTGTGTCGGGGGGAGCTCCTGCTCCAACGACCAACAAAGGACTCCGGTCTCCAGAGACGTCCATCCCCTATTTGATGTTTGTGCCTCAAGGCCCATGGCACCCCAGGAAGAGCTACTGAGGTGCTCCCAGGCTGAATAGCCAATGCCTGGGACCGGAGAGGGTCAGGCTGGGTCCGATCCTACGAGCCCGTTATCCCGCCCGTGGGCGGTGGTGGAGCCACAAGGAATCGCTGTCCTCCGGAAGCAGGAGACGTGTTACAAAGTTGTCTCCTGCTTGCTCCCCTTGCAGAGGGATCTGGCGCCTAAATGCATCCTGGGACACGGGTTTCTGAGCAAGCCGCCTCTGCTGATGGGTTAGTTACAGCTGCCGGGCTATAAAGGATGCCTCACTTGTCTGCTGAAGAAGATGTCGATCCTTCGGGGGCTGGGGACAATGATAGCAGGTAAGCAAACTTGAGGCGGGACTGAGTCTGTATCCAGCCAAGCTTCGGACCGTGCGTGTGCAACCACTGCCCTCTGCTGGATGGCACTAGGGCTGCTCCTGCGTGTCATATGCCCTGTACTGCCCCCAGTCAATGGGGATTCTCCTTTAACTCGAGAGTCAGGGGGGTTTGAGCCCTTGGGGCAAAGGGAACTGGGTTCTAGCCCCCTTGGTGGGAGGGATGGTGGATTGGTCAGCCCCTGCGTGGGGTTGTGCGAAGCTTTGCAGCTTGTCCCAATCCTCGCTCTGCTGTCCAGGACATCCAATGGCAAAACTTTTCCTTTGGGGGCCCCAAGAAAGGGTGTGGATGGGGACAGCGAGGCCAGGGCCAGACAGGGGGTAGATGGGGGAAACTGAGGCCCAGGGGCAGTGCCACGGATATGTTCCCTTCCTGGAGGAAACGGTCATTCGTGGTTCTGCTTTTCCCCCATGCACAAGTCTGGGTGCTTCCCAGGTTGAGCTGGGAGTGGGTTTGATGGGATTTCAAGGTTTATGGGTATGCAGGGTCTGGGGGGCAGGGAGGAGAGGTGTAGGCTGGAGTGCAGGGGGTGGCGTGTGTGTGGACCCCCCTTCCTTTTCAGGGAGCCCTTTGAACATATGTTCAGGCCATTGCAAGTTTCTACCTCCCCCCTTGGCTTCGGGGAGCCCCCCAGGGCAGGGCCTTCACCTCCCCCAGCCCCTAGAGGCCTGGAAATCAGCCAAGGGGGTTGGGGGAAAGAGACCCTGGCTGGGTGGCTTTTTCAGCCGTTACAAAGGGTGTGTGGGTGGAGGGAGCCAGCCCATGGCGGAGCTGAGTTCCTTCCCCAGTGGGGTTGGGTAGGCGTCACTCGCAGGAGGACAAGGAGTTTTGTGCACATCTGTCCGTCCCACACGCAGCTTGGCGCCAGGAGAAGCAATTCTCTGTAGCGTCTGGATCCGTTTGGCAACATTTCGGATCCAAGTTGGGGGCAGAGCAGCCCTGGGAAAGGGGGTGACGCTGCACAGAACCCCCCCCCCAACCAAGATTGTCCCCGCATGATGCCAGGACCTGGACTGATCCCTCTTAGGTTGGGGGGATCCTGTTATCCTGGGAGCTGCACCAACCCCCCTGGCCAAGATTGGGGCCCTCATTGTGCTGGGCACTGCACAGACCCTTCTCAACAAAGATCAGGATCCCCCTGTCATGCCAGGTGCAGCAGCACCCCCTCCCCTCCCCCCCTGCCAGATATCAGGGGTCCCCCATTGTGCCCAGCCCCGCACAGACGCATAGTAAGAGACAGTTCCTGCCCCCAATGAGTTTGCCATCTAACTAGACAAAGGAGAAGGGGCGTGACACCCATTTACAAGTGGGGAAACTGAGGCACGGCAGGATGCCGTGACTCACCCAGGGAGCTGGGGATTGACCCAACATGCCCTGAGTGCCATCCAGCGCCTTCAATGCTAGACGCGTGTGTATTTGAAGCTACGGCCTAGTGGTTGCTAAGATCCTTAGGCACAGATATGGGTGCAGAGAGGTCTGTGCCTTGGGCAGAGGGGTAGAGAACCACCCTCCCTCCCCCTGCTCTGAGGAGCTGTGGGGCTGGGCTGGGACCTCCTGCGACCAGCTAGAACCCAGGCATCCGGGACACCCAGCCACGGCTTTTCATGCCCCGCTAAATTCAACTCCACGAGCAAGAGCTGGGACAGTGGGGCCGCATCGGCCAATGGGAGGCTAGCCAGAGGCTCTGCCACGCCCTCTCATTGGTTGGACGCACCCCCAAGGCGTGGCTGATGCCCACCCACACTTCAGAGCCTCTCGTGTGTTTGTGCACAGCCTCCAGCGTCCGCTGCCGAATGGCGAGTGCCAGGCCCCGGCGGGAGACCAGCCCTCGCCCCCCCTGACGATCCTGGACAGGCTCCTGCTGACCCAGGGGCTCTGGCAGCTGCTCAGCCTGGGCCCGGAGCAAGCCACGGAGCTGCTGAGGATGCAGCCGCCTGGGGTAAGTGGCTGGCCAGTGAGGCAGGCAGTGGGTGTGGGACCATGCAGGGCTATAAGGGGGTGGCCGGGTGGAGCTCTAAGGTGGGCAGGGCAGTAAGAAGGTGGCTGGGTGGAGCTGTAAGGTGGGCGGGGCCGAAAGGTGGGCAGGGGTGGAGCTGTAAGGTGGGTGGAGCTGTAAGGTGGGCGGGGCCGTAAGGTGGGCAGGGGCGGGGCCGTAAAGTGGGCAGGGGCGGGGCCGTAAGGTGGGCGGGGGTGGAGCTGTAAGGTGGGCGGGGCTGTAAGGTGGACCGGGGGTGGAGCTGTAAGGTGGGCGGGGCCGTAAGGTGGGCGGGGGTGGAGCTGTAAGGTGGGCGGGGCCGTACGGTGGGCGGGGGTGGAGCTGTAAGGTGGGCGGGGCTGTAAGGTGGGCAGGGGTGGGGCCGTAAGGTGGGCGGGGGTGGAGCTGTCAGGTGGGCGGGGCTGTAAGGAGGTGGCTGGGTGAGGCTGTAAGGTGGGCGGGGCTTTAAGGTGGACCGGGGGTGGAGCTGTAAGGTGGGCGGGGCCGTAAGGTATGCAGGGGTGAAGCTGGAAGGTGGGCGGGGCTGTAAGGAGGCGGCTGGGGGGCTAGGGGCTACACCGTCCCCTTTTCCTCCCTCCGGTCCCGGGGAGGGCTGGCACTGGGGTGGCTAACGCCCTGGGGCTGCCATTAGCACCGTTCCTGTCGGGCAGGGGTCAGACTGGGAACTGCAGGCTTCGGGGACAAACCAAGGCCCTGTGGGGCATGGAGAGAGCCAGACTGCCCCCCCCCCCGTCTCTGCTTGGGACCCCACAAACCAGCCTCCAGAGGCAGGCCCTGGGGCCCTCACCCAGACCCGCCAGCCGGCTCCCTTCCAAACCTGCCGAACTCTCTCCCCTCCCCAGACGTTCCTGGTGACCGGCGCGGGGAGCGGGGAGCTCAAGGTGCTGTCGGTGCAGAGCAGCGGAGAGGGGTGCCACGCCGCAGCCGTCTGCCGTTTCCCCATCAAGGAGGGCGGCTCGGGTAGGTCGGGGCAGCGGCTGGGCTCATTGCAGAGGGGTCAGCCGGCGCCCCAGCCCCCGGGAGCCACCTGTCTGGGCTCACGCAGCACATCAGCAGAGCCAGGGATGGGACCCAGGAGTCCTGACGCCCAGCCCCCTGCTCTGACCAGTAGACCCCGCTCCCCTCCCAGATCTGGCGGTAGAACCCAGGAGTCCGGACATCAGTTTTTCCTGCTCTAACCTCTAGTCCCCACTGCCTCGACAACAGCTGGATGATACAACCAGCCCATAAAGTTCTGAGGTCAGTGATGTCGTTTCCTCCTGCTGAACAAGAAAAGGGAAGGGCCTCAAGCTATCAACTTGAGCAAAAGCCTGGAGGGGGAAGGATCTGATGCCATGCCGGGGACCCGGGGGAGGGGCTAGACCCCCCCACCCCCCAACCCCCCCAGGACGCAGCCGGCTGCTCCCAATAGCAATCTTGCTCTGGGTTTCAGCACCAGCCTCTGAGCTTCGCCCCTGCCCCAGCTCATGCTTCCTTGGTGAGGTATGTGGGGCAGGAAAGGGCAGCTCCCAGCTAGGGAGGAGTTCAGTCGAGTGATTAGAGCAAGGGGGCTGGGAACCAGGACTCCTGGGTTCTCTCCCCAGCTCTGGGAGGGGAGTGGGGTCTAGTGGTTAGAGCAGGGGGGGGCTGGGAGCCAGGACTATTGGGTTCTATCCCTGGTGCTGGGAGAGGAGTGAGGTCTAGTGGTTAGACCAGGGAGTGGGCTGGGAGTCAGGACTCCTGGCCCTCTTTCTCCTAACTCACTATGTAGCCTTGAGCAACTCTGTTCCCCTCTCTGTGCCTCAGTTTCCCCCCTTTAAGACATCTTAGTGGGGAGGTTAAATCATCTCCATTTTTAGGATAGATGGTGTAAACTGAGGCACAGGAAGATGACAGCTCTTGGCCCAAGGTCAGACGGAGGGCGGAAGGGAGGGGATTGAACCCAGGACTCCTGGATTCCCATTCCCAGCCAGGAACTCCTTTTCCTCCATCAACTCCTTTCCTTCTTCCTGGTGAAGGAGCCGAGGATGGATGGAACCCAGGTGTCTGAGCTCCCTGTCCGGTGCTCCTGCCAGGTTTCTCTCAAAGGTGCATCTGGCTTGGCAGCCCAGGGGGGGTTGCAGGTTGTGGACAGATCCTCGTGGCTGGGGGTGTTGGAAGGGTGGGGGGCTGTGATGGGGTGAGGAGGCAGCTGCCGGAGGTGGAGAAGGGGCAGAGCTTAGCTTGGTGCAGAGCTGGCTGGGGGGAAACTGAGACACGGAGTGATGGCAAGTCTGGGCCCAAGGTCAAGCAGGTGGATAGAAAAATCCCCCCCCCCCCCCGGACTCCTGGGTTCTATCCCCAGCCAGAAACTCCATCAGCCCCAGGGTCAGTGATGTGAAGGCCCCAGCCGTGCCCACACCCCCACCCTGCGCTGGCATCAGGGCAGCCTGTCGTAGCTTCCTCCTTGCTTCTGGGAAGAACCGGGGCGGCTTATCTCTGCTGATCTCTGCTGCAGACGTGTTCTGTGCCTGGGGCGGGGGGGCGATGGGGTTACTCAGGGCAGTCCTGAAGGGAACAGATCGCGGTACGGCCACCCTGGAGCCAGCCAGGGCCTCGGTCTTGCCCCTGAGGGGTCAGTGCAGACCAGAGCTGGGAGAGTCAGGAAATAGCCCAGGCTTGTACCTGATTTAAATGAGTGCCGGACAGTGCCAGATAGTGGTCAGAGCAGCGGGGGGCTGGGAGCCAGGACTCCTGGGTTCTCTCCCCAGCTCTGGGAGGGGAATGGGGTCTAGTGGTTAGAGCAGGGAGGTGGCTGGGTGTCAGGAGTCCTGGGCTCTCTTCCCAGCTCAGGGAGGGGAGTGGGGTCTAGTGCAGAGGTTCTCAAACTGTGGTCCGTGGACCACCAGTGGTCCGTGAACTCCATTCAGGCGGTCCACGGATAGTTCCCTATAAGGACTGCCCTGGGCCCCTATTCCCTGGGCGGCCGCACACGAGAGAATGACGGACCACCCACCGAATTAGTGGAGCCGCACAGACGCACATGTAAGGTGAGGTGGTGGCCTTGGGGAGGATAGAGGGTAGGTCGGAGGGAGCAGTGGGGTGAGAAGAGGGGGTGGGGGGAATTTGGGACATGCAAGGCTGCAGCGGCCAGAGAAAGAGGCAACTTTCCCCAGCTCCAGGGCTGCGGCTGCCGGGAAGAGACCCTCCCCCCTTCCCAGCCCCAGCTCGGGGGCTGCCGCGGCAGGGGAGAGAGGGTGAGAGCCCCGCTCCTTCCCAGCCCCAGCTCGGGGGCTGCCGCGGCAGGGGAGAGAGGATGAGAGCCCTGCTCCTTCCCAGCCCCAGCTCGGGGGCTGCCGCAGCAGGGAAGAGAGGGTGAGACACCCCCCCGCCTCCTTCCCAGCCCCAGCTCGCATTAGGAAGGTAAAACTACTGATATGAAAATATGAGTCATGGGCTTTTATTTGTAGAACAAAAATAGTTAGTTATTATTAAGTTTTTTTTTTAGTAGTAGCGCTTTTATCCAAAGCGTGTTGCAATAGTTAGCTAAAGGTACAAACAACATTTGGAAAGATCATTAAGTGGTCTGCCGAGACCTTCAGGTTTTTCAAGTGGTCCGTGGGAAAAAAAAAAAGTTTGAGAACCACTGTCTAGTGGTTAGAGTGGGGAGGTGGCTGGGTGTCAGGACTCTTGGGTTCTTTCCCCAGCTCTGGGAAGGGAGTGGGGTCTAGTGAGTAGAGCAGGAGGCTGGGAGCCAGGACTCCTGGGTTCCTTTCCTGCTCTGCCATGGACTCTCTGCGTCACCTTGTTTCTTCATTTCTTGGAGCCTCTGAGTCCCCATCGGGGACATGGGATCGGGGAGGGTTTCTGGCAGTCTGGTGCTGTGGGGAGCACAGACTGGGGAGGGAGGTCTGGCACTGGAGGCCCTGTCACGCAGATCCACCCACACATACACACACTCGACCTTTGGAACCGGCCTGGCCTGGCACGTGCCCCCCCCCCCTCCCGAACAAGCCACTTCTTAAGAGCTCAAGAGAATCTCCTGACTGAGGAAAACTTCCAGCCAGCTTCTGCTACTGGGCCAGCCCCCCAGCCCTCCCCTTCTCCACCGCCCCCAGCACCTAGGCTGCACTGGGGCCCCGCTCTGTCTCTCAGACCCCGTCTCTCTCTCTCTTCCAGCTGTTTCCCTGGAAGGGTCCCAACTGCGTTTCCTGGGGCTCCTGGAACTGGTCGCCTTCCTCTCCGTGAGCAGGTGAGCGGGGCTGGGTCAGGGGTGGGAACGTGCAGGTGACACTTTCCCTGAGTCTCCGCTCTCCTGTCTCCAGGGCTAGGCCTTTGCCTCTATCAGTTATGGGCTGGGAGCCAGGACTCCTGGGTTCTACCCCAGCTCTGGGAAGGGAGTGGGGTCTAGTGGTTAGAGCAGGGCGGGACTGGGAGCCAGGACTCCTGGGTGCTATCCCAGCTCTGGGAGGGCAGTGGGGTCTAGTGGTTACAGAAGGGAGTCTGGGAGCCAGGACTCCTGATTCCCCATCCCACTCCCTTTTAAAGACCCAATAACCTGCCCCCACCCCACTCGTCAGGTGAAAAGCCCCCTCGCAGAGGGGATGTGAGTGCGTGATGGGGGCGCCCTTCAGGGGTGGGGGCATTCCCCGACCCCTAGCCCAGCATTCCGGGAAGTGCAATTTATGGGTGCTTGCCTGGGTTTGAGGAAGCTGCGAGGGTGGGGGCAGGGTGGCCACGGTGACTTCCTCCTGCAGCCACCCAGCGTGGGGCATGCCCCTCCCCTGCAGCACCCCTGCTTCTTCCACTCCAGGGCCCTGGCCAGTGCGGGCGTCTGGTGCGGGGGGCTGGATGGTGCCAGGAGGGCAGGATCCTGGCCAGTGCGGGCATCGGGAGGGTCCTTCCTGCACTGCCCCTTCTCCCTACAGCCCTCCGCTAACTGGCTCCTGGTCTCTCTTGCTTGCAGGGATGTGCTGCCCCTCCCGCTGCGGCTCCCGGCCGCCTTGCAACACCTCAGCAGGGCCGAGCTGAACAGCTGTGCGGCCCTGGGCATGAGTGAGTGCTTCGCCCGCTGGCGATTTCACCCCCAGCCAGGGCCTCCGTGAGGAAGCCAGACACCCTCACTCGGGGGCGAGGGAGGAATGGGGTCAGGTCGCCTCGTGGGTAAAGAGGCACTCAATGTCCGACCTCTGTATGCAGCCGGATGAGAGAACCCAGGAATCCTGGCTCCCAGCCCCCCTGCTCTAACCACTGGACCCCACTCCTCTTCCAGAGCTGGGGATAGAACCCAGGAGTCCTGGTTCCCAGCCCTCCCCACCCCACCCGACTTTAACTAGTAAGCCCCAGAGCATGACAGCGGGGCAGGAACGGTACCTGTGTCCCCCCCCCACCCCCAAGCTGGGTTACATCTGCCCAGGCATTCATGTCTGTCTCCTGCTGCCCGTTGTCCCCAGCAGGGTTCTGGAGTCCTCCCTTTAAGCCGTCGGCCACAGGCGAGGAGGAGGAAGAGAACATGGGGTCCAGCCCGAGTTCCCCAACCCCCCGGAGATGAGCGGCCCGGCCTGCTGCATCCGGGTGACGTCGGAGGACGGGGCGCTCTGCATCATCAACCCTCTCTTCCTGTCGGAGCACAGCAGCGAGGGCTGGCTCCCCGCTGGGGTGCCGCCCCCATTCCACCTGCCTGAGAGAGGGGGCACCATCCGGCTGAAAAACGGGCAGGGCCCCGGCCTGTTGGACAAGCTGCCGGCGCCCGCCGATGCCGAGATGGGCCAGTTGGGAGCCCCGGAGCCCGGGAAGGAGGGGGAGCCGGGCAAAGGTAAGCGCCAGTGGCCTACCAGTTCGGGGGTGGAGGTGTTGGGATCGGGCTTGGGGGGCGAGTGTGTGCTGGGACTCAATGGCGTTGGGGCATCTGTGTAACACGCCCACCCTGGCTAAGCCTTCATGCCTAGGCCGCTCCCTTTCTCCTCTCCCACAGGGGTCGGCCCCCACCCCCCAAATTGCAGGCTCCTGGGGGGCGGAATTGCCCTGCACTCAGGATCAGGGGAAGGGAGGGGGTGTAAATTCCTCACCCCAGAGCCCCTAGCGGCCAGCTAGACGCGAAGGAGTTGCTCCCTTTTGCGGCGAGCCTTGTAGTAGGTTGTTATCCTGGGATAACGCTCTGGGGCGGGGGGGGCGCTGCGTGGGGCAACGGGCGCGAGCCGCTCTCTAGGGGGCTGCCACTGGGTGAGCAAGACGCCAGCCCCTCAGCGCCCCCTCCCCTCCCGTCCGCGCCCCCAGCAGGCGATGCCCCACCGGCCTCGGTGAAACGGAAACTGCTACTACGCCGTCCGGCCTGGAATATGTCGGAAGACCAGGTGTCCCCACCGCCGACCGAGAGGCAGGAGGGCCCGGCCTCCCCGCACCGGGTCTCTTGGATCGAGGGGGCCTTGGACGCCCCCTGGGCGCTGAAGAAGTCCCACTCGGAGTCCTCGCTGCTGGGCCCCCGGGACAGCCTGCTCCTGCCGCCCATCCCCGAGCTGGACTCGCTGTCGGTCAGCAGCGTGGAAGAGGAGCCCGACGCCCACCCGGCCACACCCCGCAAGAAACACCAGCCAGCCGCGCTGCCGGGCCGGGTCCTGCACCGGCTGTCGGCCGTGGGCAGTGCCCTGACCAGCTTCCTCTCGGCCGAGCGCCGGCTGGCCAAGCGGGTCCAGGAGCTGACGCAGGAGCCGGCCTCCTACGTCGGGGGCCTGGTGCAGAACTTCGTGGGGCACGTGCTGCGGGGCGGGGCAGCCCGGCACCCCACCAGCACCGACCTCCTGCAGGAGATCCGCCAGATGATCAGCAGCCTCAAGGGCTACCTGTGCGAGAGCTCGGAGCTGCAGGATGCCTGGGAGTACGGGGACCTCGAGGACGTGGACCTGGGTACGGGGCGGGGGGCGTCCGCTGGCTATGGGGGACTCAAAGGGGTGAGGGGCGTCAGCTGGGAACTGGGCATTGGGCTCAAGGGGGTAGGGTTGTCTGTGAGCTGGGGGAGGGGAGGCATCTGGGAGCTGGGTTTTGGGTTCAAGATGTGGGGGGCTGGGTATGGGGGGGGCAGTAGGATGGGGGCGGCTGGGTATGGGGGGGGCGGCAGGATGGGGGCGGGCTGGGGGCTGGGTACGGGATACAGAGGAAGACAGACGTCCTCCCCCATGTGAGGAATTCTCAAGGCGGTGAGGGAGGTGGGGGGCTGGCTCAGTGGATCCCACCTTAAGGTCACCGCTTTGGTCCAGCTTACGGCCCGTCATTTCCCACCCCCAGTCATTTACCACCCCCCACATGCTTCCATCCCTGGGGTGGGGGTGAGACGCGCTGGGGCCGGGGGGCAGGTTGCCCAGACTCCCCCCGATCTTGGGGTGGGGGCAGGGTTGGCTCAGGCAATTGGTGGGGGGGAAAGGCCCCTGACTCGATTTCCCCTGCCCCCCTGAGATGGAGCCTGTCACGGGTAAGCTAGTAGCGGGGGACACCCCCCCGCCCCGGGGTTATAAATAGCCCCTCCAGGAAGAGAAGCGCTGACTGTAAATGCAGCCGGAAAGGCCACTGTGGTCAAACCGCCCCCCAACCCACTGCAGCATCCGCCCTGGCTCCGGGGTGTCAGTGAACGCCTGAGCAGGAAGCTGGGGGGGACTGGGGGGGCCAGAGGAGAGCTCTTAAAGGGGAACCGGGCCTGGCCCCTTGGTGCTGTGGGGGGGGCCCAGAGGCTCCCCCCCTCCTGGGGGAGGACAGCTTGGTGCCAGGGCCGGGGAGCCAGGCAGGGAAGGGGGGCAGCTCGGGCAGGGCAGCGGATAACGGGTACCAGCTCCACCAGGCGGGGCAGGGCGGGGTGCAGCGTTAGTGATGCTTTAAGGGAGAGAACAAAGTGCTCTGGGGTTGGAGTGTGTGGTATCGCACTCCCCTCCCCGAGCTGGGGAGAGAACCCAGGAGTCCTGGCTCCCAGCCCCTCCTGCTCTAACCACTGAACTCCCCTTCCCTCGTCACTTTTGCAGCTTCCTCTGCCCTCCAGGGCCCCAGCCCCAGTTGCCTGACCCAATGTAGCAGGCCCAATGGAGACGAGGTTCCTGATCCGGAGCCCCCGAGCTCTTGCCCTGTGCCAGACGCCCCCCGGCCTGACCCCCCTCTCTCCGTCCCCTTCCCCCCCCCCCCAGGCTCCGTGGTGGAGACGGCCCTGTACAAGTGCGTCCTGAAGCCGCTGCGGGACTGCATCTACGGCCAGCTCCTGGAGTTTCACAGCCGGGACGGGAGTCTGCAGACGCTGCGTGACCACCAGCTGACCATGGGCCGCCAGAGCCTGGCGGAGCTGGGGGTGACGGCCAACGTCCCCGACGCCCCGGCCCTCGAGCGCATCCAGGCCAAGCTGGTCCAGATGCACCAGGCCTACTCGCCCAAGAAGAAGGAGGCCCAGCTGCTCAAGGCCTGCAAGCTGATCTACGAGGCCATGAACCACGGCACGGGTGGCAAGGGTAGGGGAGGCTGGCTGGGGGGGGGGAGGCGGGGGCGGCACGAGGCTGCCAGGGAAACCTGCACCCAGGTCCCGGGGAACCCCTGCTACCGCATGGGACCCCACTTAGCTGCCTCCCAGCCCCCAAAGATGGCGTCCTACACCCTCCCTGAGACAGCCCTGTCTCCCCCTGCCCCTGTGAAGTGTTTCTGAGCTGCCATCTCTGCCCCCCAGCCTTGATGGGTCTCTGTTTCGGGGGGGGGGATTGTGGGGTACTGTGGACATCCCGTAACTTGGGGTATTGGGACTGGCCCCTGCGGGAGGTGGGCTCGAGCCCCTCCCCAGGGTATTGGGACTGGCCACTGGGGACGGCGGGGAATCAAACCCTCCCCCCACCAGGGGTATTGGGACTGGCCCCGCAAGGGGTGGGATCGAGCCCACACACACACAGGGTATTGGGACTGGCCACTCCAGGGTGGATGGAGTCAGTCTCCCCGCCCCCTCCCCCGTGGGTATTGGGACTTGCCCCTGCAGGGGGTGGGATCAAACCCTCCCAACCCCGGGGAATTGGGACTGGCCCCAAGGGGGCCGTTCTCACCGCCTGCCTGTCTCTGCTCAGAGGTCTACGGGGCGGACGACTTCCTGCCTGTCCTGACCTACGTCCTGGTGAAGTGCGACATCGTCTCGGTGCAGCTGGACGTCGAGTACATGATGGAGCTGCTGGACCCCAGCCAGCTGCAGGGAGAAGGTCAGAGCCCTGACCCCGTCCTTCCCCCAGCCGGGCCGGGGACCCGCAGGGGTGAGCCTGCAGCCGGGCTGGCCGACCCGGTGGCTCATGGGGTGGGAAAGCGGGTGCTGAGCGTTTTCCCCCTCTCCCCGGTCGAACCGTGCCCTGGTCAGCAGTGCCCGGGTGGCACACACCCGCAGCCCCCCCGATGGCTCCTTGGCTGAGCTGAGCTGGTGGGGTCTTGCAGGGCTTAGGGGGGAAGCCGGCGCCACCCGGCTGCCTTGCAGCTCAGGACAGCGCGTGAGAAGCAAACAGGCCACGGAGACTGTAGGGGGGCAGGTCTCCCTTCACCGGCAGCAGTCCTAGTCCCTGTACCCTCTCTGCGCGCCAGCCCCTAGCGGTGACGGGCATGCCCACGGGCCCCTGACGTCTGAGCCCCGCATTCCTCCCCACCCCTCCTGCAGGCGGCTACTACCTCACCACCTGGTTCGGGGCTCTTTACCACATCAGCAACTTCCAGTCGGCCATGGTGACCCGGCAAATCAGCGTAGAAGCGCAGGACTCCATCCATCAGTGGCAGCGTCGACGTACCATCCACCACAACCAACACAGCCGGTGCCGCTCCCCGGTAGGGTCGGCTGCTCTGGGAGGTCACGGCTCTAAGGGGGGGCTCAGGGGGCTGCTGGGTTCTCTACCTGCCTCTGGTGCGGTCTACTGATTACAACGGGGCGGGACAGGGAGCCAGGGTTCCTGGGTTCTTTGGCCCTGACGTGCTGGGTGACCTTTGGGGTCTGTCCCTTCGCCTCTCCGTGACTCAGTTTCCCCATCCGTGACAAATGGGACCGTCCATTTATTCTGAGCAAGGACACGCAGCAGTGAACGAAAGCATGAATTCCCAGTCGCCTTGTAAACGTGTCAAATGCGTAGCGAGTAGGGAAAAAAGACAGGAGGGAGAGCGAGCTGTGTGCAACAGGTGCGCGAACTGGGAATCTGGGATGCCAATGAACCAATCCCAAAGTGCTTAATACTATGGAGAGGTGGGTTCTCAGTGTGTTGCAGAACATGTAGATAAGCTAGCTAATAGCTGTGCACTCCGGATGGGTGGTGCCCCCTACCTCAGGGGCTGATCAGCACCGCATGGTTCTGCTGCTTGCCCATAAACCGGAGTGACAAGTCCAGGGTCAAGCGTGCTACTGACCCATATTTTGGAGAAGCCCCTTGGGCTGGAAGGACTAACAGGCTTCTGGGTGTTACAATGAGCTGTCGCGGATGTTTCTGCGGCATTCCTCTTCCCCCCTCCGCACGGAGATGGAATTGCTCCGCTGTGCGTGTGTCATAGACCCAACGCTAAAAGTGAAGGGAGATTCTCCTTCATCGCCAGTGCTTTTGGAACAGAGGGGTCTGCGTTTTAGCCTCTCCCGCCATCCTGTTTATATGAGCAACCCACCGAGAGGCAAATTTGAGTGTAGCTACCAGCCATGTGTCTTCCCTTGCTTATGTACACATAGCACCTAGAGGCCTCAGTTGAGATGGGGGGGCCCCTGTTGTGCCAGGTGCTGCACAGTCAGAGGCAGCTCCTGCTCCAAAGAGCTGACGCTCTAAATAGACATAAGAACATAACATAAGAACGGCCCTACTGGGTCAGATCAAGGGTCCCATCTAGCCCAGTATCCTGTCCTCTGACAGTGGCCAATGCCAGGTGCCCCAGAGGGAATGAACAGAACAGGGAATCATCGAGCGATCCATCCCCAGTCACCCATTCCCAGCTTCTGGCAAACAGAGGCTAGGGACATCATCCCTGCCCAGCCTGGCTAATCGCCATTGATGGACCTATCCTCCATGAATTTATCTAGCTCTTTTTTTAACCCTGTTATGGTCTTGGCCATCACAACATCCTCTAGCAAGGAGTTCCACAGGTTGACTGTGCGTTGTGTGAAGAAATACTTCCTTTTGTTTGTTTTAAACCTGGTGCCTATTAATTTCATTTGGTGACCCCTAGTTCTTGTGTTATGAGTAGTAAACAACACTTCCTTATTGACTTTCTCTACACCAGTCATGATTTTATAGACCTCAATCATATCCCCCCTTAGCCATCTCTTTTTCCAAGCTGAAAAGTCCCAGTCTTATTAATTTCTCCTCATACGTTCTATACCCCTAATCATTTTTGTTGCCCGTTTCTGAACCTTTTCCAATTCCAATATATCTTTTTTGAGATGGGGCGATCACATCTGCGCAGTATTCAAGCTGTGGGCGTATACATATGGCAGTATACATATGTGGGCGTGTACATATGGCAGTATTCAAGCTGTGGGCGTACCATGGATTTATATAGAGGCAACATGATATTTTCTGTCCTATTCTCTCTCCCTTTCTTAATTATTCGCAACATCCTGTTGGCTTTTTCGACGGCCGCTGCACATTGAGTGGATGCTTTCAGAGAACTCTCCACACTGACTCCGAGATCTCTCTCTGGAGTGGTAACAGCTCATTTAGACCCCATCATTGTATATGTAGAGTTGGGATTACGCTTTCCAGTGTGTGTTACTTTGCATTTATCAACATTAAATTTCATCTGCCATTTTGTTGCCCAGTCCCCCAGTTTTGAGAGATCCTTTTGTAGCTCTTCGCACTCTGCCTGGGTCTTAACTACCTTCAGTAATTTTGTATCGTCTGCAAATTTTGCCACCTCACTGTTTACCCCTTGTCCCAGATCATTTATGAATACGTTGAACAGCATTTGTCCCAGTACAGACCCCTGGGGGACACCACTATTTACCTCTCTCCGTTCTGAAAACTGACCATTTATTCCTACCCTTTGTTTCCAATCTTTTAACCAGTTACCGATCCATGAGAGCACCTGCCCTCTTATCCCGTGGAAGCTTACTTTGCGTAAGAGCCTTTGGAGAGGGACCTTGTCAAAGGCTTTCTGAAAATCTAAGTACACTGTGTCCATTGAATCGCCCTTGGTCACCTCTGGAGCCCTTTTTAAAAATTGCATCACATTAGCTACCCTCCAGTCGTCTGGTACAGAAGCGGATTTAAATGATCGGTTACAGACGACAGTTAGTAGTTCTGCAATTTCACATTTGAGTTCCTTCAGAACTCTTGGGTGATACCGTCTGGTCCCGGTGGCTTATTGCTGTTTAATTTATCAGTTTGTTCCTCTCATGACACCTCAATCTGGGACAGTTCCTCAGATCTGTCACCTAAAAAGAATGGCTCAGGTTTGGGAATTTCCCTCACATCCTCAGCCGTGAAGACCGATGCAAAGAATTCATTTAGTTTCTCCGCAATGGCCTTATCGTCCTTGCGTGCTCCTTTGCACCTCCCTCCTAGACAAAGGGTGGGAGGGGAAACTGAGGCACAAAGTGGGGACAGGACTTGTCCAAGATCACTCAGCAGGAATAGAGCCCAGATCTTGCGAGTTCCAGTCCAGTGCCCTACCCACTCTCTCTGTAATCTGATCTGTCTTTGGTATGTACAGGGTGCCCATCACCATAGCCTCTGGACTGCTTGATTTATTATTCTTCCCCCTCTCCTTCTCTCAGGACATCCTCTACGTCTCCTTCCAAGAGCCCTTCGCGAACCAGAAGGCCATCCCCGTCCCCGCCCACATGACAGCGGCCTCAGTGTGTGTGGTCTGCGGCAAGAAATATGGCGTCCCCAACCCGGAGGCCTATGGTCTTTTCCTGGTGACGGACAGCACCTCCCGGCTCCTGGCGGAGGACAGCCAGCCCCAGCAGATCCGCTCAGCATCCCTCAAATCCCACAGCGCCTCCAGCTGCTTTGTTTACAAGCTGAAAAGAGAGGAGCAGGAAGCCCCGTCTGAGGGCGATGGCCCGGCTCCTGCTCAGGAACCAATATAAGGCCGGGGGAGAGACGGTGCAAGCAGAGGCTGGCCGGATGGGAGCGTCCAGTCTGTGCAGCCAAAGCCCAGTGACCTCAGGACTGATGCCGGACTCTCCCCAGAGCCTCCCAGGTCCTAATATCTCGGGCCACCTGGGGAAAAAACAAACCCAAACTTCCCAAGGGTCGGAGCAAATGGGCGCTGGAGCGGCCAGCAGAAAGCGTGGAAGCCCCGTTGACTTATAACTAGGAACGGCCAAAGCCCAGAGGAGCTGACTGGAGGGGACAATCCTGCTGGGGCGGACGGGGCGTCCCTCATCTCTGCAGGGCACAGCTTGGGGGAGTAGGTGTCCCAAGCTGGGACGGCCTTTCCCTGTCTTGGAATGCTGCCAGCCTTGGGGCCGTGTTGGTCGTTTAGGCTCCCAGCTGCAGCCCAGGGCCGGGACGTGGATGGCTCGGGATGCTGCGGTCCGGAGCACAGGAACCGTTCTGCTCTAGCCAGCTGCCTGAGCAGGGGCGGGGTGGTCCCGTGCTGTACGGGTTTGGGAGGTTGCAGCCCAGTGGGAAAGGGGCAGGGGAAAACCAAGTCCAATTTCCTCTCCGTGGCAGGACTGGCATATATTGCCCAAGGGGCACAGCGGTGGGGGAGCATCACCCCTGCATCAGCTTCTGTCCCAAGGGCTGCACCAGACCTCCCCACACCCCAAATCCAGATGATTGTAACTAACCAGCCCTTTGGTTCCCCCCACAATTCGAGGCTGTTCAAATGTGCTGTGAGCTTTACCACTTCTCTCTAGGGCCAGGAACCCAACTCATGGGAATCCCTGCTTAAAGGGGAAGTGACCTTAAACTCCTCAACCTTCTGCCTACGTCAGGGACTATATATTTATATAACCTTCCCCCCTGTAAAGGGAGGACTTTTGCCCGCTTGGTTACTCTTTCTTTAAATAAAAAGAGAGAACCTCTGAAAACGCAAGGCCTGGCAGACCGTGGGCGGGAGGTTTTTGTGGTTGCTGTTCGGTGTATTGCAGTACATAGGCAGGGTGAGGGACAGCCCCGGCCCCCAAGAGCTTAGGCCCAGCCCCTGGCAATGCAAATTAAGCATCCAAGTTCTTTTTGAGGAGCGGGGCCTAAATGGACAAAAGAGGGGAGGGGAAACTGAGGCACAAAATGGGGGAGTGACCAGCCAGGAATAGAACCCAGGCGTCCTGCCTCCCCGCATGCTGCCCTGCCTCGCCTCAATGAGTTTTTCTGCAGCTGAAATGCAGCCGCCCCTGGGGTGGAGCACAGCACTCCCATCATTTTCCATCCTCTTCTCTCTCCCTTTCTTAATGATTCCCAGCATCCTGTTGGCTTTTTCGACGGCCGCTGCACATTGAGTGGATGATCTCAGAGAACTCTCCGCAGTGACTCCAAGGTCTCTTTCTTGAGTGGTAACAGCTAATTTACACCCCATCATTTTATATGTATATGTCCATTTTAAGAGGACAGATGCATATAAATTAGCTGTCACCCCCTGTAACCGTTTATGGCAGCGGGCGGTTGCCTGCAGCTTGGCTGAGAGGGGGTAAGACAAGGGCCACAGTCACCTGGCATATGTTTTTGCACTGGGGCATTTCAGCGGGTCTCAGTGCAACAGCCTGCTGTCTTTTAGCCTCTTGCCTGCTCATCTTCCTCGGTGCTCTCCAAAGCTGGGCTACTTCTGTGCGGGGGGAGGCGCCCCTGGCAGTGTGTGCTGGCCCCAGTGCAATGCTAGGGGCCACTGCGCTGCAGGGAGCAAAGTGGGGGGCCCAGTAAGGGGCGCTCTCCATTCAGTCCCTGTGGCCTGCAGTTGCGGTGGGGGGCTGGTGCATGGAGTGGGGGAGAAGCTCACACCACTCTCCTCCCACAAGGCATGAATAGTGGGGAGCTCCTGGACCATAGCTTAATGCCCCCCCACCCCTTAAAATGGACAGCTATCCCGGGGCCCGGCCCCTCTGTCTCCTAACAGACAATGGAAGCAATCCAAGGTTGGGCACCTCGATTGCTTTCAGGATCTGGGCCCAGGTCTGCTCTTCAGTGCCTGTCTGTCAGTGTGCTAGGCCTGAGTCATGGGGGCAGGGTGGGGCCTGTGGTTTGCTGGGTACCACCGGCAACTCCTGGGTTCTAAGCCCACCTCTGGGAGGGGAGTGGTGTCGGGTGGAATTGAGTGTCAGGACTCCTGGGTTCTATTCTCAGCTCTGGCTCGGACCCTGTGTCCTGGGGCAAATACCTTCATTTCCCCGTGCCTCACTTTTACCTTTCCATAAAATGGGAGAGATGCTGAGTAGCTCTAAGCAGGTGGTGGTGAGGTTTGATGTACTCCATTTGTAGACCCCTTGGAGGCTCTTAAAAGGATCTGGACAAGGGGGAAAGTGTGTTTTAACTGTCTTCCCATGGCAGGAAGTTTTGTTTAAAATCGGGCACAAAACTGAGGTGTAGGATAAGAAACCCTTTCAAATCTATTGGGGATTATCTATCTATTTGTGACAGAATTTGTCTTTCACTATACACACAATCTATCTAGCTATCCCCATACACCTCATCTATCTATCTAGCCTCATTCACACCCTCTATCTAGCCGTGTATCCACCCATCTACAGTGGCTACGGGAGAACAGCTCCGGCCCAGTAGCTGCACCCTGGGGAGCTGTAGTCTAGACCCTTCCTACGTCAACAGACCGTTTGTCCATCGCTGTAGCTCACCCATCTACCTCAGAGGCAGTAGCTAGGTGGATGGAAGAATTTTTTGGTTGACCTAACTGCATCTACAATGGCTATGAGGTCGACCGAACAACAAAATCTTTCACGGCCTAGCTACAAAACTCAGAGCCAATCTAATTTTTAGGTGTAGACGAGGCTTCACACGGACAAGGTGAACGCCTGGTGTTAGACCAGTTCCTCCAAGAGGTGTGGAAAGGCTGCCAAGTCCTGGCCTGGGTCATCTCAGGTTAAGCCCTCTTGGGAATGGGCAGCTGGGCTAGCTGGCTGGTCTAATCTAGTTTAGCAATCTTCCAGTCCCTTATTAGTCACATTTATTTGTATCGCAGCCGCGCATAGGAGCCCGAGTCCTGGCCCAGGACCCAGCTGTGCCACCTAGCTATGGCCAAGCATCCCCCTCCAACCTGCCAGCCTGCCTATCCCCTGCCTCTCTGACCTAGAGCCTGGTCTACATTTAAAAATTACACCAACCTCGCCACGGCGCTCAGGGCTGAGAAGAACATTGTCCCCTGAGCGCTGGGGAGAGAATCATAGGGATAGAAGCGACCACAAGGGTCACCCAATCTAGCGCCCTGGTGTAGACAGGACTCCGTCATCCGTCAACCTTCTGCCTGCCTCTCAAAGAGGAGGATTAACTTCCAGCGCTGGAGGCTGCGTCTACACCACGGCGCTGTAGCCAGAGCCCATCTACACGGACCCAAGGCAGGCGAGGCGCTATCTTGCATGGGCCCAGCTTCTGCTGGTGGAAGAGATGAGCTTGCCCGCCACAGGGAGCCGGTCTTTGGAGCTGGGGTTCTGGAAGAAGAGCCCTGGGGCAGCAGGCAAGCGCGTCGCACCCACAGAAGTTGTGGGGGGTACAAGAGATCACCTCGCCCGCCTTGGCTCGCTAACGTCCTGGGACCGACCCCGCTGCAAGCCAAATACCTGCTGGACGGCCCTATCTGGCTGCCACTGCAGGTCACCGTCCCCTGCCGTGAGGGGCATTAGACTCCGCAGGGGATCAGGCCTGCGCGGGGGGGGGGGTAAATTCCCCCCCAGGTGGGGGGGGTAAATTCCCCCCCAGGTGGGGGGAGGGGTGGGCGTGGCTTGTACAAAAGGGGGCGTGGCTCCTCCCCCCAGCTGTTGTCGCCCGGTGACTCCACGTGGCTGGCGGAGCGGCTGGAGAGCCCTGACATGCGGGGCGGGGAGGGGGGGGGATCGCTCCGGCTTTATAAACCGGGAGCCCGGCGCCGGGGAGCTGCCTCTGGGATTCGCCTCGCCCCGAGCCATGTCCTGCCTCCGCTGGGGGCTGCTCCTGCTCCTGGGCGGCCCCGCGCTGGCCGCCCCGCTGCGGTGGGACCGGTCCCCGGTAAGGTGACCCGAGGGCGGCGGGGATCGGGGGAAAGGAGTGGGGAGGGCCTGGCTCGGGGGGGAGAGGAGAGTGGGGTAAGGACACGGGGATGGTGGGAGGAGAGTGGGGTAAGGACACGGGGCTGGCTCTGGGGGGGGAGAGGAGAGTGGGGTAAGGACACGGGGCTGGCTCGGGGGGGGAAGAGGAGAGTGGGGGTAAGGACATGGGGCTGGCTCTGGGGGGGGAAGAGGAGAGTGGGGTAAGGACACGGGGCTGGCTCTGGGGGGGAGAGGAGAGTGGGGTAAGGACACGGGGATGGTGGGAGGAGAGTGGGGAAAGGACACGGAGCTGGCTCTGGGGGGGAAGAGGAGAGTGGGGTAAGGACACGGGGCTGGCTCTGGGGGGGGAAGAGGAGAGTGGGGTAAGGACACGGGGCTGGCTCTGGGGGGGGAAGAGGAGAGTGGGGTAAGGACATGGGGCTGGCTCGGGGGGGGAAGAGGAGAGTGGGGTAAGGACACGGGGCTGGCTCTGGGGGGGGAGAGGAGAGTGAGGTAAGGACACGGGGCTGGCTCTGGGGGGGGAGAGGAGAGTGGGGTAAGGACATGGGGCTGGCTCTGGGGGGGAGAGGAGAGTGAGGTAAGGACACGGGGCTGGCTCTGGGGGGGGAGAGGAGAGTGGGATAAGGACATGGGACGAGGGGCTGGCTCGGGGGGAGAGGAGAGTGGGGTAAGGACACGGGGCTGGCTCTGGGGGGGAGAGGAGAGTGGGGTAAGGACACGGGGCTGGCTCTGGGGGGGGAAGAGGAGAGTGGGGTAAGGACACGGGGGCTGGCTCGGGGGGAAAGAGGAGAGTGGGGTAAGGACACGGGGCTGGCTCGGGGGGGAAAGAGGAGAGTGGGGTAAGGACACAGGGCTGGCTCTGGGGGGGGAAGAGGAGAGTAGAGTAAGGACACGGGGCTGGCTCTGGGGGGGGAGAGGAGAGTGGGGTAAGGACACGGGGCTGGCTCTGGGGGGGAGAGGAGAGTGGGGAAAGGACACGGGGATGGTGGGAGGAGAGTGGGGAAAGGATTTGGGGGAGGGGCTGGCTCTGGGGGGGCAGAGGGTGTGGGAGAGGGCATGGGATGAGGGACTGGCGCTATGCGGGGAGAGGAGTATGGGAAGGCTCATGGGGTGTGGAGAGAGTAGGGGTTGGCAGTAGGGAGCATGGTGGGGGGCTAGGGGCTAGCCATGGGGAGAGTGTAATTGTTGTGGGGCTACAGGTAGGGGCTGGGGCTAGCTATGGGGGAGCATGGTTGTGAGGCTAGAGGTGGGTTCTGGCTATAGGAGGAGGGAACAGGGGAGGGCTATAGGGAGCGGGGTGAGGGGCTGGGAGTAGCTGTGGGTGCCCTGTGCTTTAAGGACTAGCATTTAGTCTCGAGGGCTGCTTTGCTGTCTGCTATGGAGGGGAGGGGTCTGCTGGGGGCTCCCCTCCAGGCTTTTTGGGGTGGGTTATCTGTGGGGTGGGGGATCAGCCCCGGCTGGCAAGGCCTGTGGCAGAAACTCCCTTTGCCTCGTGGGTTGGCGCGGCGAGAGGGTCGAGCTGGGGCCGTGTCCCATATGCAGGGCTGAGCAGACCCTGGCGGAAAAGGATCGAAGCTCCCAAGAGAATGGCACTGGAGGGGGATCGGCCTGGAGGGGGGCGCTGAGACGCCCGGAGGCCTGGGCCAGCCTTGCTCGTAGGGGTGCCAAAAGCCGGTGAATGCACCTGCGACCCTCGGGGACGATGGAAGCCTGCAGGTGGCGGGTTGCTGCTTTTGCTTCAAACCGGAGGACACTGCCCGGAGGCGCGTATAGCTTCCACCTCTGTGGGGCAGGGGCGGCCTCTTCCTGCGGGGCTTTAAAGGGAAAAAAAAATCTGATCGCCTCACTCCTCAATAGCCCAGCTCCCTGCCCCCGAACATCACCCTGATTGCCTGCAAAAGCAACCCCAGCGGATCTCCCCCAAATTCAGCTCCTCCTACAGGACCCTGGGTTTTGCAAGGTTAGAGCTG